AATCATGCTGCTGTGAACATTCATACACAGGATTTTTACTTCTTTTGGGTAATGACAATCTCGATCTTACAGTAACTTATGTTGACCTTTTGAAAAACTGCCATGTTGTTGTCCAGAGGAGGCAATTTCACAGTCCCACCGAATAGGAGTGTTTCAATCCCCCACATCCTGGCCAGTGCGTGTGGTAATGTTTTCCGGCATCTGTCCTGGTAGGAGAAACGTGCCTATGTGGCTTTGACTGCGTTTCCCTCACGGCTGAGGATATTGATCATCCTTCTGTGTCCACCAACCATTTATCTTTGGAAAACTGTCCATTCAACTTGGCCTTGTCTGTTTTGAGGATCCACGGCATGCTGACTCTACAATATGGATTCTCAGCTGGCCTGCTTCCATTTTCTTGATCAAGTTGCATAAGAAGGAATTATCTATTGATATTATGGTTAAAAAAAAAAAGAAGAAGAAACAACTCAGTACAAAACCATCCAGGATATGGGAAGTAGGAAAGAAATTTTTCTTCCCCTTTTTTTGGATGGCTCAAATTTTCCATTTCTTTCCATGAATTTTAGCATCTTGCATATTCTCAGAAATGTATTTACGATGCATCCTATTTTATAACACCTTTTTGCTTAATCCCCTATTTCCTCTTGTCAAGGAGAATGGCTGCATCTGGTCCTTTGACGCAGCTGTGTGGACGGTGAAGCTCATGCCCTGGTGTTTTTCACTGGTCCTGCCCAGCTGAGGTTATTTCAGCTGTGACTGCAGCTTGAGCACTATCTCTGCAGGGAGCAAACCGCCCACACTCAGCAGCTAAACCAACACCCACAGTATTGCTCAGGAATGCGGGCAGGGCTCAGCTGGGTGGTTCTTCTTTACCCTTTGCATTGTCCACTGTGGCTGCTGATGAAGCTGGAGCTAGAACATCCAGACAGCACCTGGGGCTGGATTGGGCTTCCTCTCTCTTTCTGCCCCCCGACTCTTTCATGTGGTCTTGCTCCCTAACAGGGTAGTTGGGTTTACCTGTGGCATGGCTAGCTTTCCAGAGGGCCAAAACAGACCAGCTAAGGCTGTCACCTCCTAGCTCTGGACCTGGCCAGGCCTTGTTTCCACTGGATCTTATGGTCACCGCAATTCGGGCAGTCAGCCCAGACTTCAGAGGTGGGGAGCAGACTCCACCTATTTGTGGAGAGAACTTTTGGGGGCCATGTTTGCAAACACTCTGCCACAACTTTGAACCCCCTGATTTACTTGTCTGAGGCATTTTGGGACCAAAGCTGAGCATTCTTTGAATGGATCCATGGTCTCTGGACATATAGAGCTTGCAAAGCCAAGACAGATAATGTCCCTGTCCTAGAACTCCCCGGTCTGGTAGGGACTGTAGGTCAAGCTTGTATGCTTGGTAGAGGGCCTTGGGAGTGCAGTGATTTGGCTCTCCCCAATCACTGAGGCGATGGCATCACCCCTTGTTTAGCAGAGGGGGAAACTGAGGCTCAGGAATTGACTGGCCAGTCAGCTTCACCCGTGTGCCTTCTTCATTCCCCGCCACCTAGATGGCCTCTCCCTCAAGTATTTCTCTGCTCCACGCAGTGTCGCAGAGACAGCGCACAGCGAGCTGGAGTCAACAACACCTGGGGTCCCTTGTCCTCGGTGAGAGGGTGAGTTAAGGATGTGACAGTGCTCAAGAGCTCAAATTCGCAAGTCACACCTCCTATGCTGTTGCTTAGAAGGTCAATCAGTGTGGACAGTTGGCTTCACCTCGCTGAGCCTCGCTTGTCTCTGTAAAATGGAACAATGACCTTGTGCTGGAGACATTCAGAGGACTCCCGTGAGGGAAGCCCTTGTGTTGTTCAGCAGTGGCCAAGGGGAGGGAATGGAACCGGGGTCCTGGGGCCTGCCACTCCCAGCCTGGGGCCGGGTCAGAGGCCAGATATTCAAGGTAAATAAAAATGTCACAAAGGGCTTGCTCATTTCCTCCAGGTCGTAAAGCCGTTGTGTTCAAACGAGATGCTCAGGTGGAAACTAGAATATTCCCACTCTCCCGGTTGTCCGTCTGGACTTAGCTGCTGAGTCATTTCCCTGGGCCTTTTCCACGTGGGCCGCCCTCGGGCCTGGGCCTTTGGTCTAAAAGCAGAGCGAGCGTGTGTTAGAATCTCTCCCCACCTCAACAAGGCTCTCCTGTCCCGATGCCTCCAAGAGGGCTGGGCCCTTCCCAGCGTGCCTGGAACAAACTGCGGCCTGGGGGAGGGGAGTCGGTGCTGCAGATCCAAGATGACTCAACCGGCAACATCTGGGCCGTGGTGTCCCGGCTGGAACAAGAAAATGTGAGGCTCGTTTGGCAAGGCCTTTGCTGTTCAAAGGCTGTGTCTGTTCCCTACGTTACTATTCATTGTCTGCGTTACTATCCACACCTCTCCAGATCTCCGGTCACATTTTCCTGCAAATAACAATTTTCCAGTAAAGCCCTACCCCGGTTTGTGATTGCTGTGCTGTGCTGTGGGTGTTCTCCTGGGCCCCGGTGTCTGACTGAGTGGAACTGTCCCGACGCGGGCTGGAACTTCTCGCGTTTGTTTCTTGGTAGCGCTCCATTAGGCAGGAAATCAAGGCAAATCAGAGATGAGGACAGCAGGAAATTCTTGCTTGTAAGTTTAAAATCTGGGTGCACAGCCCACAGGCTGGTTCTGAAGCCACCTCGAAAAGCATTTGGGGAAGAAGAAGAATGTGAAGTAGTAGGAGGCGGGACGGGAAAGGTCGTCTCATGCTTTGAGTTAGTTTGGACGTGAAAGTCAAGCTCAGGGTCTGCAAAATCTCTTGTGGTCCTACGGGACAGACGTCTTCCCTGGCTTCTCCCATCTCGCTGCGGGGAGCTTCCTCAGACCACCGGGGACTTCGGTGCAGCTGGTGTTTTGTGGGTGCGATTTGTCGGTCCTTCCATCCAGAAGACATATTCCCCCCGCACACCCCACATTGTGTGGTTCGGCATGTTCTGAATCGGGCGGTGGAGGTTGTTGAGTGTTATTTAAAAAGTGGGATGTGAGGGGGCCTGGAACGGGGCGGCCCCTCTTCCCATCTTGTGGTCTGGCGACGCGGTCCACCACCGTGGAGATGGCCTGGGCGCGGGATCTGACCGGGCCAGCTAGCTGCTCTGCCCTTGGATCTTCAGACGGAGGAATGCAAAGAGGAAAATGCACCTCAAGTTAATTTCGTCTACTTCCTGCTGGCTCGGCCCCCCGTCCTCCACATCTGCTCGGTTCCTGTCTGTCTCCGAGCCTGATTCTCCATCCCTATGCAGACTTCTCCGAATGATCTGTTGCTCTCCCAATACATTTCCAGTGGGCTCTGGGTTACAGAAAATGTGAGACACTGGCTGACATTCCCGATTTATTTTCATCTGCCTTTTCTGACTCTCACACACACTCATGTGCCTGGTAAACGTCTAAGGTGTTAGGACATACAAAGGAATTATAATCCAGCCAAACTCCCACACTTGGAGATGCCTAGGCAACACAGAGAGGCTAATGGGAATGCTTGGCAATAGATTTAGGAGGGAAACTTGGCGGCAGCGGGGCCATCATGTAAGGGGGCACCTGTTCCTTGCGTCCAGCTGCTGGCTTAGTGGATTATGTTATAAGTTTGATTTGATAACGGCTCTGAAATGGTAACAGCCATACCTGAGCAGATGTCATGTCCAGAAGAGCTAGCTTTATGTAGGGTTGAAAGCCTGTGCTGACAGGCAGCCTGATTGGGTTCTGATTCTGCCTTGATTATGTTAGAGAAGCGTACCCCGGGGCAAATGACCGTGGCTTTCTGAGGTCTGCATAAGGCCTGGGTAATATTATCCACCACAGGGGCTGTTGTAAGGACGCACTGACATGGCCTGGTCAGGCATTTCAACCCAGAGCCTGGCACGTGATAAGTGCTTAATACTTTGAGAATCATCAGAGAAAATTCCCAGGGAAATTAGATCACTCCAAATGTGACAGACTTTATCAGTGCCCCGGGGAGGGGCTGCTTGGGTGCTGCCCGTTATTATGCTCCAGGGCTGATACAACATGGACACCCAAATATTTTAATTGAATATTGAATGACCTTGAATCTGTATAATTAAAAGTGTACAAGAGATATCATGATACCTCATATATTAGAATTCTGTTATCCAAGAATACAAAAATCCATCCATCCATCTATCCATTTACCCATCCACCTGTCTGTCCCTCATCCACCCAAACAGCCACCTGTCCGTTCATCCACTGATCCATCTATCCATCCACCCACCTGTCTGTCCCTCATCCATCCAAACAGCCACTCGTCTGTTCATCCACCGATCCATCCATCCATCCACCCCTCTGGCTTCCAGGCATGACAAGACCCACCGTAGTTTTACCCATCTGGCTATTCCAAAATCTGAGGCAGAGAGAACCAACGGGCTGCCTCTATTAGTGATATCTCCAGGAATCTGTCTCCCAGGTCTCAGGCGGCTGATGAAGCAGGGAGAAAAAGAGCTTCTTCTCTGGTACGCAGTTGCCTGGGTTCAAACCCCAGTTGGCAGCTTCCTGGCTCCATGACCTTAGACAAGCCATGTAAAGAAGAAAATGTCCCCACACCTTTGTTGTGAGAATTGGATGAATATGTGTGTAGGAGACTTGGGACAGTGCCTGAGGAATGGTGAATTATATAACTTGTTCCCTGAGATGTCCAGGTCCCGGAGGCTGGGAGATTCCTGCTTCCCTGTGCTTATCCCACTCGTGTCCCCCTTAACAGATCTGACGGGTGATTTACTTCATAGTAGCTCTCTCTGCTTCTTCGGCGCTCCCTTCCCCTACACTGCTGCTAATGGGTCTTCGTGCCTGGATCTTGGTCTGATGAGCCCACTTTTGGCTGATGGGGTGTCCTGCCACCTACCCCACCCGCCAGGCCCTCCTCACCTTTGGTGGCTCACTGGCCTGGGGGGTGACTGAGCCCGGCCTGGCTGACCTGGAGTTTGAGCATCTCCTCTTCTCTTGCAGGGAGTCAGACCTGTTTCTGCTCGACAGCCGCACCCTCTGGGCCTCAGAGGAGGGCTGGCTGGTGTTTGATATCACAGCCACCAGCAACCACTGGGTGGTCAACCCACGGCACAACCTGGGCCTGCAGCTCTCCGTGGAGACCCTGGATGGTAGGTACCCTGGCCACTCCCCAACCGGGTCTGCACAGCCCATGCTCTAGGACTGTGGAGGATCTTGGAGCCTCTTGCTTGTCCCGTCGACAGCAGCCTTCCCCCAACCACACTCAGTGCCCGGCCTTTAGAACCAAATGCAAAGCAGCCCCTGGCTCCTTTCGTGACCACACAGGTGGCCACAGCTGGGTTGGATACGGCCTGGCTCAGGGTGAGGCCCCCCCATCAGCGGGGGTGCATCCTCCTGGCAGAAGGGGGACCCTGGACCCGCTGCACCAGCCTGCTGATCCCAACATGTTAATAACAGCGCAGGTGACACCTGGTCACCTAAGGGTCCGAGACGCGCCGAGGCAGGCTCTTCAAGGCCAGACACAGACATCCTGGCTGTCCCTGCCTTGTGGGAGTTTCCACAGAATACCAGGCCCCTACTTGGTAGATGCAGAGGCATCTCTCAGTGGTGACGCCCCGGCATATTTCTGGACAGTGCCTAACGTCCCCTGCAGGGCGAGATTGCTCTGGATGCGGCCCATCGCGGAGTGGAGGCATTAAGCCCCTCCAAGAAGCCGCGACCATGTTTCTGAGCCCCAAATCCTCGCAGAACCCACTGCTAGCGCCGCCCCCACCCCCCACCCCCGCTCTTCACATGCCCCCTCTGTCTGCTTTGAGGACAGACGGGAAGGTGAGTGGGAATGAGGACGGGCCAGTTCCTCCACCCCTCAGTGTATTCCTTAGTAAATGGGGATGGTGTAGCTCCTCCCTGGCATCAGTTTTCAGGAAAAAATTAAAAATTATTTACTTTAAAATAGTTCGTAGATGCCTGAGGCTCAAAGTCCCAGTGACAGGTGCGTGCAGCCTGAATCACTTCCCTCCGCCTCCCGTCCCCGGCTGCTCAGTCCCACCTCCCAGGGGAACCACCATGTCCGTGTCACTGCATCTCTCTTCAGAGATACTCCCTGGGGTGGGTCTAAGCAGCACATACAGCTTCTGCTTTGCTTTCTTTCATTTTCTATTTTGGTCTCCTGCAAAAATGGCACAGTGTAGACAGTGCTCTCCACCTGGCTTTCTCTCACATGGTGACTTATCTTGGAGACGGGCCCTTTTCAGCCATTAGAGAAATTTCTCTTCGTGGTATGGCTGCTCCATGCTCTGTTCACAGGAGAGAATGTGGCTTTGCCTCTCACTGTGTGGCCTTGGCCACCTTCAACCCGCAGGGAATAAGAAGGCCTGGCCTTTCGGTTGCTCTTAGAGTTCTTGCATCAAATCAAGAAGTGTTTGTAGTAGTGCCTGGTGTGCCTGGCATCCTGGGCGTCTGGTGAGATGCAGGTTCCGATTCAGCAGGTCTGGGGCATGGCGCAGCCTGTTTCCACACAAGACCTGGCGATGCAGAGGCTGCTGGCCCCGGGCTGGGGCCTCACCTTCCCAAGGGCTGACCACAGCACCTGTCTAGAGCACGCAGGTCCTAAAGGAGAACAGTGGAGGCTGCTGCTGCTGCTGCTGTTGTTATTATTATAACTTAACTTCTTGAATTCAGCAACGACAAAGGACATTGTCTTTTGACTGCTTGAATTCCCCTGGGTCGGCTGTCTAGGTGCGTCCCCGACATCTGCTTCTGCTCACGGGTTGAAGCATGAGAGATGCTAACTTGGCTTCTCTGCGGGACTTATCAGAGCCTTTTTTTGTGCCGATGTCCATTGCAAATATCCTGATAGGGGACGTGGCCTAGAGGAATCCCAGACTTCATTGGCAATGGAATCATTCAATTCTTTTTCCTTAAAGGGGAATGAGGTGAAGAGAGGCCAGGAGCCTGAATTCCTCTCTTCAGAGTGAACATTTGCCTGGCCTCATGGGTATTGGCGGGCCCTCCCCACTTGGCCCCAATGTTCTGTGCTTCTGTTCTGCCTGCCCTGCTGGCTGTCCGGGTGGCCCAGCTTCTCCTCTTATGTGACCCTCAGCTCCGCTCCCCTGGGCCAGCCCCACTTTCATCTCTCTCCCCAAAGTCAGGGTCCTGGGGCCCTTTGCCGCCAGCCTCTGCTCCCCCCAAGGCTGTGGACAAGACTGTTTGTTGAGGGAGCTCAGCCTGATAGCCAGCCAGGCTCCCCAGTTCAAACCCCAGCCCAGCTGACTATCTCTAAGAGCATATGACCCCGGTGAGTCACTTAATGTCACTCATCTGGAAAATGGGGTTAATAATAGTTTCCACCTCCCAGGGTGGCTGTGAGGGATTAGATGAGCTCATGCGAGTGAAGAGCTTAATTGCTCAACATGTGGCAGCTACTGACACAGAGTCAGCGCTCTGTGCCATGTCTCTGCGATCCCCACCTTTCCCGGGGGCGCTGCGGCCAAGGCTGTCCAGCCACATGGTGGCTCAGTGAGGAAACTGAGGCCCGGAGCGGGGCCCAGACTCCATGTCCTGCCAGCCTCTGGGGACTCCTCCTCCCTGGGGTGGGGGTGGGCCCGGCAGCCAAGGTGGCCGGCCAGTGTCGGGGCAGACTGAGGGGTGGTCCCCCCAGCTTGGGGCGTGGGGGGACGGCAGGTTCCACCACCCTGGGGCTCAAGTGGTCCAGGCACAGTGGCTTTGGTTTGGTGCCTGAACCAGGGAGGAACCACCACTCAGACCATCATGCGGGTCTGAATTTGAGGGCTTTCTGGGGGATGGGATAAGAAGCAAGGGAGCCTGGCATTTCCGAGACCACAGGCTGCTGCCCCTGGTTCTGTTTCCCTCCCATGGCCTGTTTTGTCCTTCAGGCGAGTGATTCCCGGCCCTGCCCCAGTCCTGAGGACCTGTCCCGAGCACGGGCCTGGGGTGCGCCTCTTCTCACTTGCTCCTTAGTTAGCTCGGGCCTGGCCTGGTGATTCTGCTCTGTTTTTCCCTGTTAACAAGATGGCGCCGAGGCCGATGGGCTCTGTTCAGGTGTTGGCTGTGAACCTTCTCCTGTTAGAAGCCCCCCAGGTGACAGTCGTGGATTCTGGGGTCCACTTGCCGGGCAGCCTGGTTCTCGTCTGCCTCGGGCCAGCTCTGAGCAACCGGTAGGAGCAGCCTGGTCCCTGCCTCGGGGCTCTTGCCGGCATTAACTGAAACTCGGCGAACCTCGCTGACTCGGAGGACACAGCACCCGGACAAACCGGCCTGGACAAGGGCCGTGGCGCCCAAGCCCAGCCAAGTGCCCTATCTAGGATGGCACCCCAACAGGGCACCACACCTCCTCCTGCCCTGAGTAGGCCACACCCCCTGGAGGAAAGGGGTCCCCCGAGGCTGCCAGAATGCAGAGCCCGTCGGCTCGAGGGCCTCATTACACGTGCGGGGGGCTCTGTTCTCCTGTGGCGCAGGCGCCATGGGCCTCACAGAGCCTGTTGGGCCTGATGGACGCCCCCGCTCACCGGGTGTCTAAATGTCGCCCGGGACCACCCAGGAAGCGTGCGGGCGGCCCCCTCTCCCCAGCTGCGGCCCTCCTGCTGGCCGCCCCTTGCAGTGGTGCAGCTGGCCGGGCTCCGAGGGTGCCTTGCAGGAGAGAAGCCCATAAACTCTGGGCACCTGCAGCTCATCAGGAGCCAACCCGGAGCCTCCTCTCATCCCCCAGGGACAGGACGCGGCAGGACCAGGCTGGCGTCTGCTTGTCTTTCTCTTTGTACAGAGGGGAGGCTGCCCTGCTCCCTCCCACGCCACACAGGCTGTGCCCCTTCACCCCCGACTCCGGGGCCAGTGGGAGAGGAGGGCCTCCCTTGTGGGGTGGGGAGGGGGGATCCTGAATACTCCGGTCCCATCAGAGTGGAGGGTTAACCAGCTGCGAGGGGCTGCCCGGGCCATGATGGTGAGGTGCCCTGGCTGCAGGCTGGCCCGAGCCTGGGCCCCTGCAGGACCAGCAGGGACGGGCCGAGGCTTCCGCACAAACACAGGAGCCTGAAGCCCGGTCGGGTGACGGCTCCTGGGGGCATGCGGACTCATCTTGGGGGGGGCCCATTCCCTTGGACCCTCCCTGTGGGTGGTCGGGAGGAAGACAAGTGATTAGTGTGTAACGCTGGGCCGGCTCACGAGCGTCAGACATGATCACGGTTGCCGACATTGCTGTTCTTGATGCTGAGCTGTCACGGGGTGACCCTGCCGGGCCCACGGTGGTCACTGCTGCATCTCACAGATGCGGACACCGGGTCAGGGAAGTGAAGCCCCTTGGGCTCAGGTCGCTGGCTCCTTGGATCCACCTGGGCTTTGCCTCGATTCTGACTGCAGCCCCCCTTCTCCGCGGGAGAAGCTGGCAAGGAATCTGCTCGCCAGGACCTGTGTGCAGCCAGGGAGCCCCTGCTGGGAACACGGTGGCCAGGCAGGTCAGCCAGACCGAGAGCCCAGGCCCCCGCGGCGTCCTGGCCCCTGCCTGGCGCATCTCCCCGCGTCCCCTCACTCGGGAAGGAAAGAGTTTGACAGAGAACCTAGAAGACCGCGCCTTCCTGCCTGAATCCCGGCAGGGGGTGGGGGCGGTGACTCGGGCAGCGACATTCAACATCCCTGGGCTCCTCTGCATGAAGGACATATTGAAACTCATGTTTGATGAACATGTTGGTATAAAGATGAATATAATCCTGGCCGAATTAAAAACTAAGACATTTTCTCTGGCCCTAAAAATTTCACATTTTGTCTTGATTTTAAGAGACATTAAAGCATTTTCACAGGCCCCTAAAAGTACAGACAAGTTGGCCTCGGGCCCTGCATCCTGGGCTGGGGAGCAAAGCTGAGCTCCCCGCGGCCCCACAGCTGGATGCTCGAAATGGCTTCTTACCTCTCCACCCACACATTTATTTACTCAATAAATTCTGCGTCCCCACGAAATGCCAGGGACTGGTGTGGGCACCGGGGCCTGCCCACACAGGCCAGGACTGTCAGTCGCTTGTATTCGAGTAGGAAAAGGCCACGGAGAAGGGACAGATGCAGATGCCAGATGCTTGGGGACACGTTCTGCAGGGCTGGGAGGCTCAGGAGAGCCCCTTCCCCACCGCACGGGTCTCCAGGC